TACGTCACCTCTCATTTTAGCTCCCTTCTGGCCAACCGGCCTTCCCGAATAAGGTGCATGGGGTGAGTATTATAACTACTACATTTACACTACCGAATATGGGGGGGGGGGTGCGCATTTACCCTTGGCTCGGATCCATAGTCCGATTCTGCCCCTGGTGTCAATAGGGTCATCTGGTCGGTGTTTAGCTGTTTGTCACAATCCGCAGAACTCGGGGAACCTTAGCCGTGGGTTTCGATTATTGCTTCCCCTCCCGCGTTCCCGGCTCCTTGATCTGGAGTCCGCTCGCAGCCTGTTGTGACATCTCTTCCGACACTGAGGCGGCAAGATTGCGTTTCCCGCATCGCCATCACATCCCATGGCGTGTGGGCTTCGCCCGCTTACAATATAATTATATTAAACAGCTTTGGTAATATCCATAGAGGTAGTAGGCCAAGTAGCAGGGACCTGAAAGCAGGTATTCACGATATCTAATTGAGCAGGTCTATGAAATCCGAATTCCATACACCATCGAAAATACCAGCAGATCGGTATTATTAATAAATTGATGCACGCAGTGAAGCGTCTCCATTAAACCTATTGCCTTAGTTACGTCGTTTGGCGTGTTTCCGTTGAGCTATGTACTAGTGTGGGCATCGTGCGTTTACAGGCACACACCTATTCTCCGGTTTGCGATGCAACCTACTCAGACTGAACACCGAGCACCGAGCATCGTGAGTGAGATGCTAGTATAGGTGTTCATACGAGACGCGCGCCACGTGAATTCCCCTGTACATCTGTAAATGTCATCGACACATTGCGAGTACACACCGCAGTGAATCTGCAGTGTCACCTTGTGTACCCCGTTATCCGATTTTCATTTCCCAGCACTGCGATGATTCGACTCTAATATACACGAAGCTGGCCGCTGGAGAAGTTTTTTGCATGATTCCATACGGACCCACGTGTTTCCACGCGGTTATATCACTCGAGTGTTTCCTGAAACATTGCAAAGCCAAAGTCGACTGAGAAAGGTCACCGTGGTAGTTGTGATGAGGAGCGGAGGTTACCATGGTGATAGTTGTGTGTGTGTGTGGGGGGGGGGGGGGGGAGTACGATGGTGGTTGGGGAGGGGAGAGGGAGCTCACCGTAGTGGTTGAGGAGGGGAGGGGAGGGGAGAAGGGGTCGATCAATGGAAGAGGGTAATCCAGTTACCTCTGTTATTATAAGACAGCAGGAGTGAATAATAATAGACAGTAATTCACCAATGAAGGTGGATTCATGGAAGGAAGGAAGTCCATTGTGAGAGGAGCCATCAACTGCGGAGATGGATCTACAGAGAACGTCTCAGCAACTGCCAAGCACGCGCGCACGAATTTTAAACAGGCTGTATTCCAAGCATCTGAATGATGTTTAGCGATGGCGAAATTGCTCTCGGCTTGTGTTTTTTTTAAACCGTTTGCGATGAAATTTTAAATTTATCTTGTTCGAAATGATGTAGCAATTACGAGATCTCATCTCGCTACATTGCACGAGCATGCGGCTTCGTTGCTTGCTTGATGCAATGGGCGGAATCTCGTTCTATTTGCCGTACAGGAAGGAGCATTCCGGTGCGCTATCTAGATCCGTCTGGCAGTGCAGAATAAATTGAGATGGAAGCGTGCGGAGCCGCACGCACACGCAGCAGGCGCACGCGCACACGCACACACATATGCACGTACACTCACGCACGCACACATGCACGCACACTCACGCACGCACACATGCACATACACTCACTCACGCACGCACACATGCACGCACACTCACGCACGCACACATGCACATACACTCACTCACGCACGAACGCAGCGCTCACGCACGGACGCACGCACCCACGCACAGGACGGCTCGTTTTGGCTAATGCTATCGAATACCTCTCAACAAGATCGATGTGTGCGTTCCTAATTCCTTGCTCGCTTAGCTAATTGTAGTAATTATTGTAAGGTGTAATTAGATAATAGCTGACGTCAATGACAGCCATGGCGATGACAGGCGCTGCATATGATAGAAGATTCTAGCTTCTATCTGCTGCTATTAATGCGCCCTTCCTCCATCCCTCCCTCTCTCTCCCTCCCTCCCTATTCCACTGCCTCATCTCCTTCCTCCGCCCCCGCGCCGCGCCCTCTCCTCCTCCTTCCTCATCTCCCCTCTGCGGCCATCCATCCATACAATCCATCCTATGACGCTCTCTGTCTACCATGTCCTCTTCCTCCACCCCCTCTCTCTCTCTCCTCTCTCGTCTCTTCTCTCATCGCTCTCTCTCTCTCTCTCCTCTCTCTCTCGTCATGTCTCGTCATCCTCTCTCTCGCTCTCGCTCTCTCTCTCTGTCTCTCTCTCTCTCTCTCTCTCTCTCTCTCTCTGCAGCCTCTGTTGCGGGGTGCGTGAAGCAACAAATTTTTTGGGGGGGATGACCGGCCGTGTACAATCGTCTACGTGCTAAGTCACGACCTACGCGCCCGTTGAACCCAATTAATAGGTTCGTTCCTATATATCTGAATCAAGAGCTTAATAATACCTTATTATCTCTTATCTGTATATTACCGAGCTCTGAGGTATTAATTAGCTCTTGATCGTAAATGCACTGTAGTACTACTACTGCGTGACGTAAGCGAGAACGAATTCGATCTGTTATCAACCACAATGGGCACATCTGCCGATAGCCCAGCGCAGCTTGCTCTCATCCTCTCTCTCCGTCTCTCTGTCTCTATCCCTGTCGTGACGCTCATAAGGCCTATGTCTCCCAGGGTACGCGACGTCCCTGTAACGGTCCGTATATCCGGAACGTACCGGTCACTATTGATATGTTAGGTTAGGATTAGGGTTAGTGGCTAGGAGTAGGCGTAGGCGACTCCTAGGACTCGTTAGTAGAGTAGGCGAGGTAGCGGTCCCAGGCATATAGATAGTACGAGGGTACGTTCTGGTTCGGGCAGTACCGCCCGGGGACATAGACCCTCCTCAGCGTAGTGGACCCGTGCATCACAAACCAGCGGAGCTCTTCCTTCAAGAGTGGGCGCGGCGGTTTTTAATCGCATTATTGGATTTATGACCGAGATCGTTCGGCGTGTACATATTTGTAGCGAGCGGATAAATGTGCATTTTATATTTACGAAGCGAATACAGTGCGCGCGAATCTGGACGGCTTCATAATGAGATATATACCGCAATTCAGTAAAAATACAACGATATAGCTCTTGCCACATTGCCAACCCTAACCTTAATGTGAACACGCTAGTGGTAACCGCTAACCATGTCCAAAACTATAGACCACTAAATCCTAACGCCAAGCCCAGCACTTACGATGACACAAACAGAAACCTCACGCGAAATTCATACTATAAGCCTGACCCGTTAACGTCTATAATGATAAGTTGTTCTTTTATCAAATGGTGTAATTTAAACGATCACGTTTCCCTGCAGTTAGAGATGAAGGGTTTTACTATACCTTTACTTCAATAATTAACTTGTTTCAATCGCGCTGAATGTTAAACCGGTTACTGAAAATACCAGCGATAGCGCTCCGTCCTCTATCCCCCCCAACTCCCCTCCCCTCCTGTTCCTCTTCTCCTCCCCCTCTCTTTCCCACATCGCCCTCTCTCCTCCCGTTTCCAATCTCCCACTCCCATCCCTTCCACCTTTCTCTCATCCCTCTCCCCTCCCCCTTCACCTCTCCTCCCTCCTTCTCTCTCTCCCCTACTCATCCCTGACTCTCATCTTCCTCTCCCTCTCACTCTCCCTCTCTCGCCCTCTTCCCCATTCTCTCCCTCTCACTCTCCCTTTCTCGCCCTCTTTCCCATTCTCTCCCTCTCACTCTCTCTCTCTCACCCTCTTTCCCGTTATCTTTCTCCCCCCTCCCCGCCCCTCCATCTCCCTTTCTCTTTCCTTCTCACTCTCTCCCTCCTTTCTCTCCCTCTCCCTTCTCCTCCCTCTCGCTCTCCCTCTCACTCTCTCTCCCCTTTCTCCCCTTTCTCCCTCCTATCATTTCTCGTAGCATAATTCCGAAATATTGCCATGTCAAAATTAACCGGGGGGAAACCTGCACTTAGCGTTGTACGGCTATCTTTGATCAAGCCGGGACAGAGCCTGCATGCTATTCCGCGGACACGCGCTTCTAACAATCGCGAAACCATGCCGAACTTGAACAATGACCGAGCGGTAGGAATCTCACGCAGAAACGTATTGAGAGAACGCCGCAAATAGATCGGTCGTTTGTTGGCCGGGGAATGGCCTTTCGCAGCGTTTGCAGCATCTAATCGTCGTAACCGTGGTGATAACGCAGCGCCACAGGCACGCACTGCTAGTAACAGGTTTCGTGACGATGGTCAATGCAGCAGACGGCGAATTTGTCGCCGTGGTTTGCCGCGCGATTCGCTGTCAATGATTCGGCTCAACTCTGCGGATTCGAAGCGCTTTCGAGTGTAGTCATTAAACGTTAAGGGAGGCTTATGTCGGGCTTGCGAGCCGACTCGACTGGAAGCAACTGGCTGCAATTCACTGCGACTGCAGTGCTTAGGTCGGTCGACTGCGAGGCGACTGCCTGCGACTGGCCGCCACTAGTTGATCGGAATAGAACAGTGGGCAACTGGACGCTGCCGATCGCTTCCAGTTGCTCGAAATCCAGTTGCTTCCAGTCGAGTCGGCTCGCAAGCCCGACATAAGCCCCCCTTTATGTTACCGAGTGTCGGTCTAGTGGACTCTGTAAAAAGCACTGCTAGCGATTTTCAAGAGCAATATTCAACAACATCACTACTCCATACCCGATGAATAAAACGCAATAGTGTACACACTACACACTTTTCTATCCTATCTAAATTGGGCATAGGTTCATTGATAGTTATAACTGAATTGGTGTTATAATAATTGGAAATATGAGTGCTGAAATATGGATGTCGATGCTGAGAGACTTTTACCTATTAAGACCACTCTTACTGTGATTTGGTCTTACAGAATGACCCACCAGGAATAGTGTTCTGGTTCTGATTATGCCTGGCTTCACTAACGTGATGCAAGGTAACCAACCAGAGAATGTTTCTTTGTCTTCCAATAATGTCCAATGAGTTCCGTGACGTGATGCGTGTGTGTGTCATTGCAGACTTCAAGCAATGTCCGTACTGCAACAGAAACTTCAGCCCTTCGGCCGCTGACCGGCACATAGAGTTCTGCAAGGAGCAGTCGGCCCGCAAGACTGCAGCGGCGAAGGCAGGGGAGAATGACCGTGCCAAGCTGCAGGATAGGAGAACTAAGGTAGCAGCAGGGGGTGGGGTCGCTGTACTGCACAGCCTGATTACATAGACATCAATAGTAGATGATGCCACATGATACATAGATGTGTTATTATCTACTCTTGATAGACATGTGTACGCACGCACGTGTATGCGCGCACCCATGCATGCACGCACGCACACATACAAGCACGCGCACGCGCACGCGCACACGCACACGCACACACACACACACACACACACACACACACACACACACGCACGCATGCACGCACGCACGCACATGCACATACACACACGAACACACAATGCTACGCGCCTACATGCGCTGGAAGGGTATATGCTGGCATATTATGGTTATAATTGTGCGCTGTTATGTCACTATTGTAGTCTCATCTCTTTGTTCTATATACTACTGAATGTTCCTATCTGCCCAATACAGAGTGTGACTGTCTGTATAATATTTCTCCTAAAAAAAATTTCTCAAGCACTTCGAAACGTTTTCAACTCGTTTCCGTTCATGATAATATCTTCTTACAGTGACTAATACAATATTGTTATTATAAACTTTCCTTCCATCTGTATTACCTAGTATATCTGAGTACTGTCATCAATATATGTATATGTGTGTGTGCTATTTATTACATTTTCATTTCTATATATCGGTATGTTTGCTTGTGATGATGCATCGTGATCAGCGTTATAGCATCACCTGCATGGATGAATTCTGTTACACATGAAGGGGGGTCTTGATGGGGTGCCTCGAATCTCAGTTCGCAGTAAATATACCAACCTTTGGTTCCCAGTTAATATTTTCATTTCTCGCTAAAATTTGATGATTAAATTTCAGGCCGAAACGCAAGAGGCTTAGGAATTCATATACAGTTGAGGCAGAACGAAATTCCTGATAAAGAATTAGGGGTTTTTCACGCTCCTACAAAAAAATCCTGATCAACAATAAAAAAGGTTTTCATGCGAAAGTTGAAATATATGGCAATTTCACGCTCCACGCAGTGCCCCATCATCCCCCTCCCCACCCACATGAGGGCGTGTCGTAACTGCCAATATACGCAAGGTCCACGTTACCACGCCCACCATTACCGATGATTTCAGTATCAGGCACCAAAGCTTCAACCGAAAACGACGACGACGACGACGACGAAATCTTCGACGGTCGCGTCGTCGAAAAACGTTTCGGTAAAAACGACAAATAGCAGCAAACCGCCCGCAGCGAAACCGAAAGTTGTGGTGGTGCCATCGGTGAGTCGGCGCGCGTTAACGCAGAAAGCTGCGTGCGTGCTTACACCTGCAGAGCTGCTGCTGGTGTCTCTGCCATGGTGCCTCTTGGTTGGTTGTTGGTGCCAGTGTTGCTTCGTGGTTTTGATTGTCTTTGGCTGTGATGGCAGACTGTGTCTATCAGGGTTTCTTGTCTTTCTTGGTGCGAGTGTTGTATTGTTTCTCTGCGTGCGTGTTGAGTTGTTTCTACGCATGTGTGCTGAGCTATGGTGGAATTATATTAACTCTCTGTCTCTCTTGATCGCGTGCACGCGCGCTCTCTCTCTCTCTCTCTCTCACTTTCCCTCTCCCTCTCCCTCTTCCTCTTTCCTTTCCTCTCTCTCGCAATCGCCCTCCTTCTCCCTCTCTCTCTCTTCCGCCTTACCCCTCTCTCTCTCTCTCTCTCTCTCTCTCCCTCTCCCTCTCCCTCTTCCTCTTTCCTTTCCTCTCTCTCGCACTCCCACTCCCTCTCCCTCTCCCTCTTCCGCCTTACCCCTCTCTCTCTTGCTCTCTCTCTCTCCCTCTCCCTCTTCCTCTTTCCTTTCCTCTCTCTCTC